TTGACATTTTTGCTGTGTGATTCTTCCACGTCAGTAATATACTTTCTTACAAAGTGCACCCACACATATTATATATTGTTTTTTAGAGGACAGATAGGGCTACATATTTATATCACATATGTGTGTCTAACGCCTCACTTAGGACAAATAAAATATAAAAAAAGAGAAAAAAAACGTTAAAAAAAACATTTTTTTCCCAGTTTTGATTTGTAGTATTTTTTTTACAACACCAGCACAGCTAAAAAAATTGTATTCTCTAAAGAAGCAAATAACCCGTCACGTACAGTGTACGTGACAAGTCATTTGGTCCCTTTGTGGCTGGACGTACAGTGTACGTCTCCCGTCACGAAGGGGTTAATAAATATAGAAACCCTTTTTATTGCCTATGTATGATGTCTAGAAATGTAATTAAATATGAAACACTATTAGGTTCAGAACCTCTACAAATGTATTTCACACTTCTGGCAGGGTGTCTTTAGGTCTAATTATAGTGTATCATCACTGTTCTATTGATTTTACAGTTTTTTCTATTTAATAAATGGATACATCATTCACCCTAAATTTCTGCTATTTCTGAATATGATATAAAGTGGGGATATTGTTTTCTATGTGAAAAGATTGGAAATCCAAGGATGATGATATATGATTTAATCACTCGTGACTTGATGTAGTACCTGTGTAGTAAAACACAGCTTCATTATGCTAAGTTATAAAAGTCTGAATATCTTTTGGCAAATATATGGGAAAAAAATGAGGTTCCACTGAAGCATTGTCATTTAATTTAAACACAATTATTGACTACTCTATCAATATTACCTTGTGTAACTGCATAGGTAATAGCATTATTCAGTTGTCTACATATAATTTTGAACTGGCATTTCTGTTCCAATCTTTTAACTTTCCTGTGCTAATATCCAGATCCATGTAGGAGATGCGATTTAATGATTTATAGTTTGGCTCATTGTAATATGTAAATCTAAAAATGTAGGGGTTCATTCACTAAGCTGCTGAAGGCAGCCTAATAAATAACCGAACCTAAGTGAAGGGAGCTGAAGCCTCTTTGGCAGTTCACTGCAGCCCTGTACGGCTATTTTTGTAGCTGTACATTAGTTGCATTTGGCCCTCTTCAACTCCCTTCGGTTTGGCTGAACACCCTCAGCACGTTCGGCAGAACCGAAGGGAAGAACCTGATCGCCTCAGCCGATGCAACATCTGGATCGGCTGAGGCGAACGCTCGGCAGTTCATTCCCTACTGTTCACCCCTATTCTCATAGAGGCCGAACAGCAGAGAGTGAATAGCCAAACTGTCAGCTCAGCATTCAGCTCGGTCATTCTGGTCGCTACCTTTAGAGGTAGCGAACAGAATGAAATATGTTACTTTAAAAAATATATTAAATAACCCTTTAGGTCTGGTAGGACTGTTGGGAGGGACCCCAATGTAAAACCAAAATGCATGGGGTGCCCCTAGTAATTCATACCAGACCCTTTAGGTCTGGTAGGAATTTTAAGGGGGACCCCAACACCCAAAAAAGGGGGAAAATCCCATACCAGACCCTTAATTCGATTAGTGGCCTGGCAGAGCAGGAAAGGGGGATGAGTGAGCACCCCCCCTTCCTGCACCATACCAGGCCACATGCCCTTGACATTGGGAGGGTGCTTTTTCAGGGGGGACCCCTGCAAAAGCACCTTGTCCCCATGTTGATGAGGACAAGGGCCTTTGCCCCACAACCCTGCCCCCCCTTGTGAAGGAGTAAGTGGTAGTTATTAGCCTACTCATTCCCCAGAGTTAAGTAAAAAGTAAATAAAAACACCACACCATGAAAAAAATCCTTTAAATTAACAAAAGTCAAAAGACATTTTTTGACAAGGAATTCTGGAGTCAAAGGATTAGCCAAACATTCGGCTAAATCATTTGGCAGCTCAGTGAATAACCCCTGTTGTGTTTAAATGTACAACTGTCGCTAAATATATGTACCAGACCGAGTTCATCATGTAAATCCAGTAGCTATTTAGTTTCATTCTGGATTTAACTATGTTTGTTTATGCCATCAGAAAACATGTTGTTTACACAAGTCTAAAAAGATTATCATGTATGCATGATTTAATGGCTAGTTACATTTTACTGAAGCTAATTGTGTATTTATGGACATAGGCTGTTTGTTTTTCTGTGGTTCATCAAAAACATTATGAAACATCTGTATTTATTATAAAAGTCATATCTATGTAAATGTCTGCTATGTGTATATTTTGATCTGATAGCCCCAACAGCATCTCACCATCACACCATGACCTCCGATAGCTTCATTCAGTTCAGGGCCCTTGAAGAATGCCTACACCACACAGACTGAAGAGATTACTTTTTTAGATGGGGTCATCACAAACTTACCAAAATAAAAAATAAAAAAAGAAGGGGACACAGGGAGGACAGCCTAAGACATGCAAAAAAAGAACATTAGCCAACACTCAACCGTAAAGATCTTTAATCTATCCAACTGTAGCCTTACGAATAATGATTTAACCCTACTTGCCAAAACCTTAAACCATTGCTTTGCACAGTCCACAGAATTAAACTACAAGCAGGCATGTTTTATTAGCAAGTGCACCCAGTTCACAATTATTTCTCCTTTTTAGATCAATTTTTTCTACAACTCCATGGCACAGCTATGGGAGCAAATTATTCTCCCAGCTATGCAAATCTAACAATGGGTAACTGGGAAAACCAACGCATCTGGAACCTTAATCCTTTCGCTAAACATCTAATTTTCTATGGTTGGTTCTATGATTGACCAAGACCACCTGTGCTTCCTAGATCAAGAGCTTTCCCACAAAGAGGATTGTATTGTCACCAAAAATCATTTTAAGCCAACTGCAGGCAATTCTTACCTATACTTCCATGGTTGGCATCACCCACTATGGAAGTCCAATGTCCCCAAGGGACAATTCTATAGATTAAAGAAGAACTGCACCAAAAGAAAGGATTTTCATACATTAGACGCACACCTCAGCGCTAAGTTTCAGGAGAAAGGTTATCCCAAAGAAAAACTCCACCAAGCATTCTCTCGGTTTCTTACTACCCCACCAAACAAAAAAGACAAATCCTAGTTTGGGTCATTCAGCAAAATATGCCAGTTTTATTGAATGATTCTTTCTATAGTTTTGTAGCTTTTGTTGAACTGAGTAACGAAGCGAACTCTGTTGGACCCCTTAGGATTGTTGTTCCTCGTTTTTCCCCACTTTTTGTATTATTCCTTTCAAACATTTTATCGGATAGTGTGCATGTGTTCCTGCTATACCTTTTATTCTCTGTGTATATGTTGATAACTGCTACCATTTATCTTCTAAATATCTTTGTTAATGTTCATTCTATAGTGTAGTGTGGCTGTAGTGTAATTAAAGAAAAATAAATCTGAATTGTACAAGTCCTTGTTCCACTGAGGTCTCTTTTGAAGTTTATGAATTATCTAAAAACAAATGTCCCTCCTACTAGAAAGTCTTCAGTGTTAATATAAAAGGGCCTAACAATGGTGTAATTATTCTGATTTACTTATTCTTATGTTTATGAAACGATCTGTTTAATAACAAGCATGTTTTCCAAATCATATGCTTATGTTGTACAAAGTCGATTTTATCATTGTAACATCCCATGAGCACATGAGGTCTCTATTTTCTGTCAAAGGTGGACTATGTGGCCAAATGTTTGTGGACACCTAATCGTCACACCTATTTGAGCCTGTTGGTCCTTCTATTTCAAAACCATGGGCATTGATATGGAATTGTCCTCCTCCCCACTTTAAAGCTTTTTAATTCTCCACTCTGGATGAAAACAATTATTTCTAATGAGCTCTCACACACATTAAACTTTTTTTGATTTAAACACATATCCCCTTTACTTATGTTTCTAAAAACCCACACCCCCTGTAATCACTGGGGGGATTAACTTCCTTTAAAAGTGATGTGAGGTGAATTCAGATGTGTTCTCAACTTATATCTTACTCAAGCCAATAATATCATCCTATAATTTCTTAAAGCAAACATATATTTTTTTATGGAAGGGAAAGTGGTGTCAGTGTTTTGACACTTCCCCTTTCCATAGAGAAACACACATCTTGGAAAAAGTGTATAATTGTGTCCTAGTCATTCTACCTAAACCTATCTTGTCCTACTTCATGGAGGAGAAAATAATGTCACTTTAATGTCACCTATACATTTCCTAGAAAAACACTTATTTTGGGAAATTATGTAAATGTAACTCTGTTGATAGGATGAAAACTAGCTCTTCACAATTCAATCCCTAATGAGACTATCCATATGCACACCAGAGCAATTGCTAAATCTTAATTAATTTCTCTCTCTACAGTACACCATCCACTGTGCTGTGCTTATGGCCATAATTATTCATGGAGGGAGAGCTTGGGTGCCTTTCCCCTGTTGCTTGGCTGTGTCTGTAGACAATGCTTCCTGTGCTAAACAAGTCTTAGACTGTCTCCCATAATAAACTCAGAAAGGCACAACCAAGCTCTTAATGATCCCTTTAACTTTATTGTAACAGCATTTCCATATTCTTAAATGCATTGTCAATAAGGTAGCAATTTTACATAAGCGTTGTTTTTCCCATTAAATAGATATGGAACATTAAACATAATTCTGATTTTCCTTAGGCTATATCTGCCAGCTTTTCACTGTTAAGAGTCCATAAATTCATACATAAACATGTTCTTAATACATCTGGTATTATACAGTATGCTTTTGTAAGTATTCACCCAAAATATAATGCTTTTTTAAGCTAATTAAACTGATAAAACTGCATAAGTACAGTTTTCATATATGCCTTGCTCTCAGGCTCAGCTTTACATGAATGTCTTGCATAATATTTCTTTTTTTAACGCACCAGAATAATAAGAATTTTGCAATTTTGTTTTGACTAATTATTTCAGTATATACTACTCTAAAATTAGAAATGTGGATGTTCCAGAAGGTTTATTAATGTTTCATTATTTCAGGTGGAAGATATGCAGTGGACAAGCAAAGAACATACACAAGCGGCATCTGTTTGTAGCCTGCCATGCAAGCCTGGAGAAAGAAAGAAAACTGTGAAAGGAGTCCCTTGCTGCTGGAGCTGTGAACGGTGTGAAGGCTATCATTACCAAGTAGATGAGCTGACCTGCGAACTATGCCCTTTAGATCAGAAGCCAAATGCAAACCGTACTGGCTGTGTACTAATCCCTATTATCAAACTTGAATGGCACTCTCCTTGGGCGGTTGTTCCAGTCTTCATAGCCATTTTGGGAATAGTTGCAACAACATTTGTAATAGTCACCTTTGTAAGATACAATGATACGCCCATTGTGAGAGCATCTGGACGTGAACTAAGCTATGTGTTACTCACAGGGATTTTTCTGTGCTATGCCATCACTTTTTTAATGATTGGAACTCCTGATATGGTGGTTTGTTCTTTAAGGCGTATATTCCTTGGGCTTGGCATGTGTTTCAGTTATGCTGCATTGCTCACAAAAACAAACCGGATCCATCGAATATTTGAGCAAGGAAAGAAATGTGTAACTGCTCCTAAATGTATAAGCCCTGCCTCTCAACTGGTTATTACGTTCAGTCTTATATCGGTTCAGTTGCTTGGAGTTTTCATATGGTTTGTAGTAGACCCACCCCATGTAATAGTAGACTATGGGGAGCAAAGAACACCTGACCCGGATAATTCCAGAGGTGTTCTTAAATGTGACATTTCAGAACTTTCTTTAATCTGCTCCTTGGGCTACAGTATTCTATTAATGGTTACATGTACTGTATATGCCATTAAAACAAGAGGAGTGCCAGAAACCTTTAATGAAGCCAAACCCATTGGATTTACAATGTACACCACCTGTATTATCTGGTTAGCATTTATTCCAATATTTTTTGGAACAGCACAATCAGCAGAAAGGGTAAGTAACAAAAAGAATAAGTATCTACACATGTTTTACTTTACCTGCGTAAACATTATTGAAAAAATCTAGTTCAGCAAGGTATGATATATTATTATGTATCTTTCATAAAGGGCACTTTGAATTGTGACTAACAACAAAGATCACTTGCTTTATTTTAATTATTTTAACAATTTGTGTTTTTCCTTTAAATGTTGTTGGAGGGTAACATTTAAACAAATTACATATTTTCAAATCATGAACATTTCCCCATGTTTTGTTCCTTTAAAATGGATAAAGTACAGACAAATACCCATTGATCTGCCAGAAATCTAGTGTCCTCTTGCTTGAGCTATGAAATCCTCATCAGTGTTATCAGTGCTGTCTGCTGGACTACAGAACTCTGCCTATCCCCAACCCTTTTCTCTCCCAATCCACATGCTTACATTTATTTATTTCCTAGCAGTGCTGCTGCCATAATTTCCAAAAGCCTGCCCACACGCTGGAGTTGATTTACTAGTAGTAGATGCCATGTAAAACATGAATGCCCAGGTCACCCAAACTGTATTAGTTGTTCTTTTAGAGAGAAGCAGTTTAGGTGCAGCCAGTATACGTTCCTTTAAAATAAAACATATTTTCAGCAATGGGGTTGATATTCTAAAGGCATAAATAATGCTCACTTTTCATAGTGAATTAATTCACTTAGCTTAGTGAATGAGGTTAAGCTAAGAGAAAACCCACTTTGCAAAGAATACCCAATCATGTGCAAGGATAATAATTAAAGAAGAAGACTTCTGCTCGCATATGGTTTGATGAAATCCCTTCAATCACTAAGTTCAAAGGATTTTCACTTGCAAAGTGAACATTCTATACTACTTTATTAAATCAACTCCTTTGGGTACAGGAATAGGGCTTTTAAGGGTGTAATTCTGGAGGTATGTCTAAGTCGGTAAGACCTGAGCTCCCCACAGCTACTCCTGTAAGCATTTTACAAACCTGGTGATGATGTCACTGAGAGTTATAAAATGTGTTTCTTGCTACAGGAACAAATTAAAGGAAAAATAATGCCAGGGCATGCTCTAGACCAGGGGTGGCAAACTCAGGCCCTCCAGCTGTGGTGAAACTACAAATCCCATGATGCATCTGCCTCTGCGAGTCGTGCCCGTGGCTGTGAGAATCTTGCAAAGCCTCAAGGGACTTGTAGTTCCACAACAGCTGGAGGGCCGGAGTTTGCCACCCCTGCTCTAGACGGCTAGAGGAAGGTTTGGATGCAATCTTGGGTATTGTCTGGACATTTGCTTTAAAAAGGTTTTCTGCTTTATATGTATATAGAACGGTTACTGTTACATTATCTTAACACTATCAGATTTACAGTTTATTGCATTTTTGGCTTATCTGCGGGGCCAGCTATTTCTCCATGTATTCCAAATTTAGCAGGTTTATCTAATTAAAGGGTAATTTTTGTTTTGCAGTTTCACCTATTTTAGTGCTGCTCATGTCATACATTAAAAACCAATTTCTTCCTTTTACATGTAACTTTTTGAAAAAATGATTATGCAGTGATAGCCAGCTTTGTTTTTTTTTTGTTTTAAAAAAACAATATTGTGTTTACTGCTAATCTTTAGTTGTGTGGTGGACTTACTTGCTTCATAGGTGACTCCTGTATAACCTGGTACAACACAGATTGAGGATTGATAGATTTGTGCTCTTTTTTAACTGTGGATTCAAAGGACCTGAACTGCAGGTATATAATGCTTTGTATAGTACATATCTGGGGACCTTTGGCACACTGGCATCTTATAGGGGCATCATTTATGTACAGAATGTGCTTTAGGCCACATTGCGGAACCTGGCCTTTGGGCAGCAGGTAGAGTAAATCCACTTCTGGGCACATTGGCATTTTATTTGGCATATTTTATGTGCAGAATGCATATCTGGAGACCTGTGGCACACTAGCATCTTATAGGGGCATCGTTTATGTACAGAATGCATATCTGGGGACCTGTGGCACACTGGCAAGTTGTGATTAACTGCATATCATTTGTGATACATTGTGATTAAAGGAGAACTATGAGGTGAGTGCTTTTCACTCACCTCATAGTTCTAGCCGACCTGTGACAATGAGACTGTCACAGGTCGGCTCAGTAGATCGGGAGGTGAGCGAACACATACCGGGTTCGCTCGCCTCTCGATCCTGTCACGGCTCTCTGCTGTGACAGGGGGAGGGGCTGGATTCCCCTCTCCCCGCTCCGATCTGCCAGCGCTGACTGGCGGAATGGACGGGGAGGGGGCGGGAACAGCTGGCTCTGCCTCTAGATAGGCAGAGCCAGCTGTCACTCACGCAGCTGGGCGGATCCCGTCATCTAAGTCGTGATCCGCTCCGGCTGCGGCATCTCAGTATACAGCTCGCGGTATACTGAGCTTAGGGTAACGGGAGGACGCTAGTTTGTGTCCTCCCGTTACCCTAAGGAGAACTATGGGGAAAAACACTGACCCCATAGTTCTCCTTTAACTCCAATGTTAGTTAATCACAAAATATATGCATAGTGTATACTTTACAGATAATTTGCTGTGAGGCGCTAAAGTATTCGGGTTTGGCTTGAAGAAAATGGGACAACCCTATTCTGTATGCAGGTGGTCACTCTGGTAGCAGAAATAGGCAAACACATTAATTTTGGCTAGAAAACAGCTGAAAACCCCCAACAATTATATATATTATCTAAAAGCAGAGACCATGTAGAATGAATAAATGCTAGTTTCAATTTTTTTATGTTGCACAGTATTTACGCAAATGTTTATCAAACCAGTATTTTTAGGATAAAAAACACTGAAATGAAAATGAGTACACATAAACAGAATATAATACCCATTGTTTTTTAGATTGTTTCAATTTTCTAAAAAAAATTGTATTATATTCTGTTTATGTGTACTAATGTTTATAACCACTTGAAGCAGATGATGTGTATTTACACGAACCCGCCTGAAGTGGTTAAACACAATTAGATGTTTCCGATAAGATAGCAAAGCTTCACTTTTTGAGCTTAGTTCCACTTTAGGTTTGCATTGTGTAGCAAATATATTTTATTTCAGAGATGCTATTTCTGAAAAGCATTGTTGCAAATGAACTTAAAGAGAAACTATAACAGTTTGGGGTCTATTTAATTTTAGTTAATTTATATGTATTTTAAACAGTTTAATTGTTTAACTAGCTATATATAATCTTTTATACAAAAATAAAATATTTGTTTAACTAATACACATTTATTTAGGGTTTTCTGAAGACAAATACAACAGAAGCTGTTTCCTTTTACAATGTCCCACCTGTATGACAGTCAAAACAAGTACCAAATCCAGTTACTTTGTAATGCACAACCCTTAAAAAGTAAACACAGTTTTATTTTACCTTCCCTGAATAAGCCAAATCTTCCTTCATTTGTGTCTCACACTTCCCCCACCATGCACTGCAGCTCACAGAGGGAGGGTTTCACAACAGAGAAAGTGTGGTCAATCCAGATAGCAAGAGGGCTAGATGTGGCCAGGCACTGATTGACAAACTACATGACAATCAGCACTGGGACAAGGTCATCCAGCACCCAGGGTGAAGATGCCAAATTGCACCCTCCCTCTCCCTTTGTGATGCATGCACCCAATTGTTTTAGGGCCTGTTCACACTTGCTACACAGCAAATTGCAGTGATTTGCCATGTGGCAAGTGGCCGCTAAGCAGAGGTGTTCCTAATTTCTCGGCTGCCTAATAGACTGCATTAGACATGATGACATCAGCGTGGCTTAGACTGCCAAAGCCTGGGAGAAAAGTGGCCTCGTGGACTGGTGTATGGGACCAAGGATTGGGTGAGTATTTCTTCCTAATTTTTGTCACCTAGAAAAAAACAGCACTTAAATTTTGCAGTGTGGGGGTAGCCCCACTGCACAGAGTGTTAATTATGGTAAACACAACTCCTAAACCCCCTCTATAACATTACACAGAAGAGTGAAAATTTAGTTTTGGTTCCGGGTCACAAGAATCAAGCAAGTTATCACGAAACACAGGAACAAGGATTAGCTGATGATAAACCAGAAACATGATGGTACTGTTGCTTAGTTTATATAGGGCCAGTGATGTCACTTCCTATGCGCCGCTATGGCGCATTTCCGTGTTGGTAATCTACCGCTTCTGCGGGGATCCATTACAGATATAGATATATACACACACACTATTTTGCCAAAAGTATTGGGACGCCTGCATTTACACGCACATTAACTTTAATGGCATCCGCGTGTAAAGGCACGGTTGTTAACCGCATGAATCGCGGCAAACTGCGCATGCGCGAGAAATCGCGGCAAACTGCGCATGCGCGAGTCCTAGTTGGCTGCAAACGTTGCAAATATAAGCTCACACCACAATCAATATAAGACTTGTTTTACGGCACTTTTTATTTATATTGTGCTAAGAGTGACAGATATTTACAGAAGCATGTTAGATCTCATCTGTCAGACTAGCTTACAATGATGTATTTCTCTACACTAGTGCATGCACTTGCTTGACTTCAGATCCATATTTTTTTCTTGTCATCCCAGCAAGAAAGCATTTAAGATTTTAAAATAATCATAATCTTTATCTAAACATATATTTAGCATAACAATTAGCATAATTTATATTTTTATGATGGGTCATCATGTTGTCAGTCTACCTTTTGAAGGTGGTTGTTGTTATTGTAGCGACAAGCAAATGACAACTATTTATGGTCGAAAAAGGTGGAGAACAAATTAATCACATCAAGGTTTATGTCTAGTGTATTCATTCAATTAATTTTCTATAAGATATGTTTGTCCTTCCTTAATGGAATATATAATCTTTTTTTTTCTTAACTAAACATGTAAAAGAGATCAGATGAAGGTAAATACTATCGATATGTGTTTTTTTTAAAAGCTGATTTTTATGTATGCTATGAAATTATACATGTATAATCTCTATATAAAATACAATAATGAATATATGGAACAAACAAGCCCATGAAATGT